TCTTCAAAAATGGGGAGGAGTGAAATTGGACTGATTATTCCATTCTGGTTAATTCAGTCTTATTGAAGGACTATTATTCAGTTGGAGTATAGCATTTGTGTCAAATCATAGACATTTGAATTGAAGTCTTATCAGCAAAATAATCATGGATTATACATATTAAACATGTATTCTCGGCTACTGATAGAACTCTAGGGATGAATACTTAGATAATTAATGGGTGTGTTTGAAATGGGTTCTTCTCTTATCATTAAGAGTGATTTCTACCTATCAATAAATGATGGGTCTGGGTTGCTGCAAAGTGTCTCAAGTTTCTTTTTCTTTATGAAGGAGCTAGCCTCAAATATTTTAAAACACTAATTAACTACAAGCAAGGCGAAAGATTTTTTTTTTCCTGGAGCTGAAGTGATTATCTTTTACAGAACTCTTATAAAAATTTTTTTAGTTTTCTTGCAGTAGAGATCCTCTTCGGTATTGAACCAGAGCAATATATTATGACCAGTGACTCATACATATGTTCTTAAAGACATTCGTTCTTTGCATCTACTTGGATTTTTTTCCTATTTTAATTTCAGTACTTAAACTGAGAAAAAGTGTTGCTTGTCCTTAGAGCAGATGCAAACAACCAACACATTGATCATGGTATGTCAGTTCCTATTTTGTACCTTCAATATTTTCAGAAGTGTAGAGTTAAAAAGGGGGAAAAAAAAATCTATGACAATATCCCAGTATAGTACAGAGGAAATTCAAAGTTTATTTATTTCTACACTTTTCCCAATAAGGTGTTCTTCTGGGAATAAGCTGTATTTACTCTGATTATAAATGGAACCACATTTAAGATAGTCAGTAGAATAAGTTCCTTTTTAGATTTTTAATTTTTTTGTAAAATATGTTGGCTTTTTTGTAGTGAGTTTTGGACATTATACCAGTAAATTTATATTACAGTTTCTGATTAGCATATATGAAGACGACCTATTCAGAGTTAAACTCAGTACTCCATGTGTCCTATGACATGTATTAATCTTTCTGTATGTCCAAAATGGAAGAACGTTCATCCCAAAGTTGATGATTACTTAAATCAGGAAATTTGTGTATCACAGCTTAATTCACAATTGAAGAAGGGTAATTTATCCATTTTTGAGGGTCATCAAACAACTGTGCTAAGGACTGAACATGCCAACATACTTTGTCCAGGACTTTCCTCTTACTTTTTAAAACCCTATTTATTCCACATGATTTAAGAAAATCAAAAGAAAACAGTCTGTATCTTTAGGCAAATGAAGCTTTTTACAAACAGTAAAGAAACACAAGAGATAGTTCTGTTTGTTTCTTGCTATTAAGCTCAGTCAGAAAATTAAGAATATGTAGGTACCTTGGAGGGGACAATGTGGAAAATTCTAGTACAATATCATTTAGAAGAATGGCCTGTCCAGTGTCCTCCTGACTTTTTATTTTCCTCTTTGTTTAAATAAACCTGACCTTGGATTTTCTTAAAAAGTTTGATTTCAACTGAAAGTGTCTCTTATTTCTATGCTTTTTCATGGAGCTGCTACTCCTGTTTAAAGAAGCACTCATGAATCTCTCTGAATGCTAAATGTTTAAGCAACATAGTTTTGGGGGCCAGGTCTTTTTTTGTTGTTGGTACCTAATATTACTTAGCACCAATTATTTTAGTGAGCAGCTTAGGAATGGAAAGAAATTCTGGCAACTCTAAGTCGGTTTGATTTTTATTTTCAGGTGAACAGGTTGCAAAGCCCTTAAGTGGCTTGCCGTAGAAGAAGCAGGCCATTACTGTGATAGATCTATTCCTTAGCTGATTGATTGGCATGGAGGAATTAGAAATCTGTGAAAAGCTCTTCAGAAGTGATTTTCTTCCAAAGGTCAAGGAACTGTGGTCACCATTTCTCTAGCATGATTTGCAGCTACTCATTGTAGCCTTATCACCAGTAGCAAATGCAGCTGAAAATGGAAGATGTTTCCTTGATCATTTTTCTTCCCTCCTGCCTGACTAAATTTCTTAAATACCAATTCAGTATTGCCTCCTTCTTTTCTGCCATCCAGCTCAGTGAAACTTTAAATTCGTGACCTATGTTTTCATTTATGACTTGGAACCCTGCTGTGATAGTTCCCTTTTAAATAGATTGTAATACTGTACACAGAGATGTTTTGAACTCAGGAACAAGTGTATAGAGGACTATGTTATTATAGGACACATTGTGTTTAGGGATTTCTAGTGAGTCTTAAATGGTCAGTAGAGATTGTATATGGTGGAATTAACTCAAGATATATGATGTGTTCTGTGTTGTAAGGTTGAACCGAATCATCTACCTCCATTTCCCCCCATCCCTCTTTTAACTCTTCATCGCTGCTAGAGTTACTATCATTTTTTAATATGGCTTGAATTGTGTCGTACACGTGGGTAATTGTTTCAATACAACTGTAGAATAAAACCTAAACTCCTTTTTATGACACTTCAAATTTTTCATATTTAGTTTTGTTTCTGTCTTCCCATAAAAATCTTTTATGTTCATTATACAAAATTATTCAAGATTCCCCAACATATCATATTCCGTTAGACTTTTATGTCTTTACTTTTGTGTTTCCTCTTATTTCAATCCTGTTTTTGTTCTGACTTTTCTCTGCTTGGCACATCCTTACTCATCTTCACTTGGAGTAACTTGATGAACCTTCCCTAATCATGCCAGGTGTAGGGTAGCCAATTCTTTAGAGTTCTTCAGGATTCGATCATACCGTTATTATCCCATGTAACACACTGTACTTATTTATATGTGAGGGCACTTCAAAAAGGTCATAGAAAAATAGAAGTGAAAGATAATGTGAATCCTTCCAAGACCCTTTTGAAGACCCTTAATATATACCCCCCATAGTCTGTTTCATTTATCAATGCATGATTTTTATTTTTATTATTTTATTTCCTGTTATCTACTCCAGTACAGTGTTAATCCTTAACCTTGAAATACAAACTTTTTTACAAAAAGGTCTGTAAAAACCTTTACCAAAGACTTATTGGTATGCTGTATATGTGGTAAATAGACATGTACCTCTTGGATTAGAACTTACTGTAAACTGTACATTAAACATTCATCTTTCAAAAACTTTTTTACTAAAGTCAAGTACACCAGTAACAATTTTCAAGACTCTTGACACATTTCTGATATGGCAGTGATGTGTAACAAATAGCAGGGGCTGACCCACTTCTTCTGTACAGCTACTCCTTGTTGTTATTGCTAATCAGAAACCTGGAGTCTAAAATTAACAGTGGCTATGAAGGAAAGCAATTAAGATCATTTGTCTTCCCAATGAGTCAATGCAGATTCCACTGGTAGTTTACATTTATATACAGAGGGCAGTCACGCTATTTTAAGGGGTAATATTCCCCTCCCCGCACCTGTGTTGCAAAGCCCTAATTTTAGGGTTGTGATAGCAGATTATGTTTTGAGAAAAACTTTCCCCTTGCTATATGAAGATGCATTTCCTAGCAACCTCTTTTCATTGATTAATTTTAAATTAAAGAGTACATCATTTTTCATGACAACATTTATAAAAAGGCTATTTTAAGCATATTTGAAAGACTATTAAGCTTTCAAGCCGCTGGAGTTTGGTTATCTTAAAGGATTTGGTGCAGTCATAAGAGTGATTCAAGGATATACCCAACATATTCTGCTTTTGGAAATGGTATTAGGGCTATAATGTCTTCTGGACATCTCTGATCTTGGCTGGTTTGCCTGTGACAGTGGCTCATTGGTGAGGAATGTAACTCATTCATATGCAAACTTTTGGTGAGGAAAGTGAATTCACTTTTTCTTGTCAACTGAGCTAACTTACCAGCACCTCCCCCCCCCCCCCCCCCCCCCCCCCCCTTTATAAATAAGAATTTATAGGTTTGAAGTCTATCACCCTTCTTTAGCCTGTTGCTTGGACAGAAAATTTGCTGAGTTTCTTCATGAAAATCCCCATGGAAATCAAACAAACAAGCTATTTGAAAGGAGACCAGTTATTGGATTTTTTCATTAAACCCATCACTAGATTTTCATTAGTTCTAACCCATTTTCTTTCAAGATTATACATACAGGCCAGTTCTTATTTTCATGATTTGAATAAACTAAATATGTTGAGTTATGCATGCCTGTTATTTATAGCTCAAGAAGCAAAAGTAATCATTCTACTTATGCCATACAATTACCCCTGAAAATCAAGCCAGGAAAAAATGACTGGTGTAGGGGAGAAAGGCTATCTTCATTTTAAAAACAGGTTATTAAATAAAGTGAAAGTGGTGATAGCGATTATAGGCTAATTTGATCAGTTTTGTGCTTCAGGTTTTCCCCTTCTTTTAAATCATGATTGTTGTATGTAAGTAATCTAAAGTATGGAAGAGTATATCACAGTCCTCAAACACTTTAGATCCTGTGAAGCTTTAAATGTTTCATTTGCTATTATGAGTAGATTTCAAAGAGTTCTTTTAAAGCAAGGAATTTGGTAAGACTTAAACATTAACTTCATCTTTTTGAACTTGCATTACGAAAAAAAGACAATTTTCAATCTTTTACTTCCTCTCCCTCCCCACTAAAGTTGTGAAAAACTATTTAGACTCCAGGTGATTTGTATATTTTGGGAAAATCCTAACTATACATGGTTTTTTTTTTTTTGGCTGCTGGTATGGGGATCCAAAACCTTGACCCAGGTGTTACATCACCACACTCTAACCAATTGAGCTAACCAGCCAGCCTGTTATTTTTAATAATCCAAAGTCTGAGCTTCAGCTTTCCTTCTGAGGCTCAAACTAGTTTCTTATTCAAACCGAAGGTACTTTCTTTTTATGTGAAATTTTAAAGAGAATAGGGATAAACAGGATTACCATTTATTTTTAAAATTATGAGTACCACATTACATATTTTAATATACTGTTTACTTCCTGAGCACTTTCTCCATTTTAAGAAAATCTGTTTCAAATGTAACAGTAGTCCTCTTTTCCCTTCTAGGTGGCTGTACTTTTGATGATGGTCCAGGGGCCTGTGATTATCACCAGGATCTATATGATGACTTTGAATGGGTCCACGTTAGTGCTCAAGAGCCTCATTATCTTCCACCTGAGATGCCTCAAGGTGAGAATGATTCTGTTTACTCAGTGTTTGGGGAATAGCTTTGGAATATGTCGCATTTTCTTATTTTAGGTATAACAACAATAGTTTAATTCTTATAATAAGCTAATTTATTGTACTCCTGGACCACACCTAAGAGCACTGAAGTATTCTTTGCCTTCCCTTTAATAACTTTCTATAATCCTATGTTCTTCAAGAATGCTGACTATACCTTTTTTATGTCAGCCTTTGATGGGGAAAAATGAGTATTAAAGGGTTTGGTTTTTTTTTTTTTTTTCTGTTTAATAAAACATCAAAATGACAAACCAAAAACTAAAAAAGCTAAAGAAAGCAAAACAAGTTCTTTCAAAAAATCTTTAACATGGGATCAACTCATTTGGTAGCTATCCAATTAATTTAAACAGGTGTGATCCACTGAGATTTGTGAGGAGAGACGTTGTCTCCCAATGACCATGAGCTCCTAGGGGGCAGCCTAGAAATGGTCAAATGCAGGTCTTTTCTGCACAAACTGTAGAGAAATAGGGCTGAGACCTGTTTATTCTCTACTCAGACCTTGTTATATCCTTTGATTTTGGTTTTAAGCTATTTGAGTTGTTTTCTCTTACTTGTGAAAAAACGTATTAGCATAAGATATCAATATCTACGTACCATTTTATACAAAATTGGACTAATATTTGTGCTTCAATTTTACATATTAATTTGGATCTAATTCCAAGTTCTATGCATATAGATTTAGCAGTAACTTATTAAAGTGTAAAAATTGGGCTAGTCAGTTAGCTTAGTTGGTTAGAGTGCAGTCTTGTAACACCAAGATCAAGGGTTCAGTTCCTCATTCTGGCCAGCCACCAAAAGAAAAATAAGTTTAAAACTTGAAAATGTAAACAGGAATTTAAAAGTACAACACTAAAGAGAACAAACTATTTGCTTTCCAATATTTAGAAAGAAAAAACAAAATAAGTATAGTACATAATTATATATTATATATAATCACATATATAACACAGTAAATAATCATTCTATTATTATGGTACGTAATCATGAATTGTGCTTATTGCCTATTACTAATAATTTAGGTTTTAATGTGTTTTTTCAGTATTTTATTAAAATTATTTATAATTTTTCTACAAATTCAGAAAGTCCTTTTTAAAATGAGTGTGCATTTTAGATATGACAATTTTAGACATAGTCACTGGAGGTGAAAATGTCAATTCCTGTGATTGAAGAGAGAAATCTTTATCAGTAGAGTTCCTGAACTTGCTAATTAATGATTTTAGAACAAAAAAGAAGTAAAAACATCAACAATGAACAACAACATACCAGAAGTACACAAAGCAAATAAAACAAAACCTAAAGGTTACATATTCAAATTTTGATCTGTAAATGAATACAGTAAATATATCCTTTGGAAAGTGTTTTATTGGCCCATCTCTGACGTGTTCTTTGATAGTACAATGAGTTGAATCTGCTTTTAATTTTAAATTGTCACTTTCCACGGCTGAGCAGGCAGGTGGTTATTTCTGAGGCTGAAATGAGCCATGATTTTCTTTGCAGAGGAATAAATTCGTACTATATAGTTTTGACACCTTTTGCTTTGCACATTTGACCCCTGCATTGTCACCAGACTCATTTAGTTTTGTGCATAAGTTTGTATTTTTCTTTCAAAAGTACATAATGTTATTTTCCTGGCACATCTTAATTTGAGAAACTGCAGTAATTTTTCACCAGAATTTTCTCCGTGGTATATTTAGACTGAATTTTTTTTTTTTTTTTTTTTGTCTTTTTTCGTGACCGGCAACGGATCGCAACCCTCAGTGTCGCGCCTGTCCCGGACCGGGACCGGCCACGGGATCGCAACCCTCGGTGTTGCTCCCACACCTTGCTCAGCCAGTGAGCAGCCGGTTCTGTATGTGGGATCCGAACCCTCAGCGGGAGCGCCTCCGCGCTCCTAAGCGGCGTACTGTAGCAGTGCGCCACCGGGCCGGCCCTAGACTGAATTTTTTATTTAAAATTAAAGGGGGGTGGGCTGGATGCACACATTTTGAATGTTTATCATCAGAGAATAATCAGAAAGATGTTGATTTATGGAAATGTTACCATTGCTAATTACCACTGATGGTGGGTAATGAATAGCTGAAGAGATACTGCTCAGATGACCTTGTTGGCTCACCTTTGATGAATAGTGTAATCGGTGGTTACAGGACAGGATGATATGCACAGAGAATGAAAGTGTTTGAAATTCAGCCATGTCTTCCAATTAATAGGACATTAAGTAATTAATCATGCAGAGGAGTGAAAAAGGTCACGGCTACTTTATTTTTGCTGAATGTAACTGTATTTATACTCTTCTGAGAGATGAGAGAAAGCACTCACATGTATTTTCTTCTTTTATTCTCCTCTTTTCATAACAGATACTACTTTTTCCCCCATTTTCCTTCTGATAGTCCTTTAAAGTGCTGACAACATTATCTGCTCATAAATTGGCAAAAAGGAGACATTTAGATTTATCCTATTAAAGTTTTACGAATGATCATTTTATTTTCAAATAAATAGGGTAGGCATGCTTACTTTTTTATTTACTTAGAAAAAACAAACAACAAAATAAACAAAAATACCCAAACACGTGGCAACTCTAGAGTAGGAAGTCTCGCTCTCTAATGCAAGCTTGTTAATGACCTCCATGCAGCACTTACTGTTGATTGGCTTCTGTTTATTTGATCGTTTTGGACTGGAAGCCAAGAGGGAGAAAAGAAGGATGGGGTGAATAAATAGACTTAGAATAAAAGAAGAATGAAGATGGGTAGGAGAGAAGAATAGAGAAAAGAAGAAAATTATTTCTCTTTGTGGGAAGGTACAGTGCTATTAATAGTTGCTTAAAATGTTCTGTAGCAGCTCCTAGCCCCACATAACACTTTTGTCAGGTTACAGTGTTGATGACTGAAAGGTCTGCTAAATATTTTAAAAATATCATGCAAAAGAATGAGTCCTTCATAAGAAAGTCCTAATGGCCAAAATCATATGAAAATATGAGTTCCTACTCAACTCAGTCATCAAGGAAATGCAAATTAAAGCCACAGTGAGAAGCTACTACAAAATCAGTGGAAGGATGAACATCATAATTTGAAGTGCTGGTGAGAATGTGGAGCAAATGAAACCCTCATATGCTACTGTCAGAGTATAAATCTGTGCAACCACTTTGTACAACCAAATTACTAGCAAATCCATACTTGAATAAAAGCCTAGCAGAACTGAATACACATGTTCACCAAAAGACACACACAAGAATGTTTACAGCATCAGCACTTGTAATAATCGCAAGCTGGAAATAACTCAAGTGTCTCTCATCAGTGCAATGGATAAATAAATGGTGATATATTCATTTAATGGAATATTACATCACAATGTAAATGAACAGACTATTGCTGTATATAACAATATGGATGAATTTCACAAACATAATGTTAAGGGAAAGAAACTAGACACAAAAGAGTATGTACTATATTCTCTTAATATAAATTTCAAAAACTGGCCAAACTAATTGATGATGTTAGAAGTTAGGGTATTATTTACTTGCAGGAGAGACTGGAGATGGGTGATGGTTAGTGCCTGTAAGATGGCATGAAGGAGGCTTTTGGATGCTGGTTAATATTCTGTTTTCAGATGGTGTTTTCATAGATATGCTCAAACTGTAAAAAAATCACTGAGCTGTATAATGGTGAGTTGTGTACTTTTCTGTACATGCTAATAAAAATCGACAGAAAAACAAATAACCAGGGCTCATCAGGATACTATCAAGAAACTATAATAATAACTAAAATGTGATAGATTACAATAAAAGATATATAATGGGAGACCACAAATGGATATAAACTCTTATTTTCCCACCATCCTGGATCCCTTATCCCACACTAAAATATGCTGTGTTCTTTGACATCTTTGGGTCTTTGTGTGTTCTCTTTTGTTTGAGTGGGAAAAACGCATACTGTCTTTCTTCTATACTCTTACTCAGCAACAATCACAATCACAAAAATGAACTTCTGTAACCAAGTGTATGGAAATTTCTCACCACTAGCAAATGAGCAAGCAGTTTTCCAGTGGACAACAGGCTTGGTGTCCTCTATCAAAATTCAGTGCCAACACTATCCACCTGGAAATAGGGTCAGATCCCACAGTCGGGCTCAGCCCCCAAGACTGTCCCAACTTTAGATGCCAGTTGCAAGTTCAGGTCTCAGGAACTTCTGACCAACCAGCTATAAATCAGGGTTCCCACAACCCCCTCCTTGGGTTCTATTAGTTTGAGTGGCTTAGAAAACTCAAGTAAACATGCACTTGCGTTTACCAGTTTATTATAAAGGATATTACAAAGGATATAGACGAAGAGATGCAGAGGGCCAGTTATGGGGAAGGGGCTTAGATTATTGGCAAGCCACCTTCCAGGAACCTCCATGTGTTCACCTATCCTGAAGCTCTCCAAACCCCGTGTTCTTAGGTTTTAATGGAAGTTTCATTACATACGCATGATTTTGAAGTATGGACAACCATGTAGAAAAGTGATTTGACAAAAAGAGTATGATCTACACTAACAGACTGGGTGGGGAAACCCAGCAGGACCTATTTGTTCAGGTTCTTTGCAGCATTCCTCCCTCCTGGGTATGGGGTGGGTCCCCTCCTAAAATGGGAGTCTTATTGCCTACAATTAGCTAAGATAGGTCAGAGAATTTCCTGGTTCAGAGAGAAAAAGGAGCAGGTGAAAGGAGGGCAGGAGAAGGTCAGGAACTGTGGATGAAAACCAATATATAAACATCCTAATATCATATCTTCCCTCTGTTTAGACATTTCTTCATAAATTATCTATTTGCCAAATTCCTACCCATTCTCACTATGGCTACCCAAGTTCTATCTGCTTTGAGCTGATTTTTCTGATTGGCTTGGAACTCTTATATTTCTTCTATCCTCATATCCAAATGTGCTCCCCACTGTACTTTGTACATATTTCAGTTGCAGCT